GACCGGGCTCCATGGGCGAAAGCCCGGCCACCAGGCGCTCGCTAATGTGCTCCACAATCCAGGTCTGGCTCCAGAGTGGGGCCCCGGTGACTGCGTCCAGGCAAGGGAACACTGAATCCATCTATCTTATTCATCATAGGGATCTTTGGGCTGCACTTTGTCTGATCCCTCATTTAGGACCTGTTTTCCTTGGGTGGCCCTACTGGGGGCATGAAGCCCCAGACAACATGGCTCCTAGGATTACTGGGACACTCAAACCTCTCCACCACGACAAGGTGGCAGCCCAAGGAGAAGCAAGAACTGAAGAACAGAAATGCAGTGCTTGCTCTGTTTTTGGTGTGACCAAAACAGGAACAAAAGATGGCTGACTGAGACAAACAGCTTCTGAAAAAACAGTGGTTAAACGAATTCCAGCTTTAAATAAATCAAAATAAAACAAAAAAGAACCAGATCCACACTGCACGTAAGAAGATAATACAATAATGGAAGCTACAAGCTGCAGGTTAGCATCAAACATCAAACTAAAGTTTCTGTCATTGTGTTTTTTTTAACCTTTATTTTAGATCTGGGTTAGTTTCCCTGCTGGTTATTTATGTTGTGTTTTCTGCATTCTTGGTGTTTTTGGCTTTACTTGATCAGACTGTTAAAAAAACATGTTCAATGATTGTAAGTCAGAATAAAACAGCAGAAAACTAATTGATTCTCTTCTAAAAATGTTTCTTAAAAACCTGACTTCCCACAGCAGCAGGCCTGAGTGAGCAAGGCCTTGGCCTTTTCAGAACCAAAACAACAACAATCCTCTCAAGCAGCCAGCATCTGAATAGAACACATTGATAGAGACTGACTCTCTTTCTCTGTTTAAACTACATGACTGCACAAAGTGTAAAATACAAGACTGGATTTTAAATTATTTTAATAATACACAGAAYTTCTTACAAGACATTAGACGCTTGTGCATTGTAAAGCCTGCTTCGGCCCGGTCCGCCTGCTCCAACTTGGGTTGTGTTTGAATTGAGCAGAGAGCCGGCTCGGTATGTCGCCTCGAGTCTGTGACTCATTTCAGCTTTGATGTTTCTGAATGGCAGAGCTGCAACTTCTCGCTTCAACAAAATCTCACTGCTGCATCTGTGGGAAGTGTTTTTTTAAATGATGTATTATCACCAAGAGCCTTGATTGGTAGTTGGAACGTCTAACATTGGATATTGATTCAGCCGTGTTTGATGGTGTAAGATGGAGAGAGCAGGAACATTCAGGAAACGTGTGAGTTTGCTTCTTCTTTAAAAAGGATTAAAGTCCTTCCTCAGTCAGAGACCAGTCTTTCAGCCTTTTTATTTATTCTGAAAAATGCACCGGTGTTCAGT